TGGCTGTTATTCGGTACTTGTTGGGTGTGTGGATACCGGAAACTTTTCTGCCATAGTTCAAAGATAAAGTCTTAGGTCTGCAAGAAGAAGCAGAGTAAGTTTCTTACTACAAGTCCTAATTCTTAATAAACTGCCCCAAATTCGATCTGAAAAGTGCCGGCAGCTATGTATTTACTATAGTTGGCGTCTTGCGGCCCTGGCGGAACAAGCTCGCTTAGATAGATCCTAGCCCAAACAGACTATCTCAACATCGCGGCCATGTCGACGCCTTCATCTCTATCATCTCTATCTACTATCATTAAAAAGGCGTCTCGCATCACTTCCTGCATCACAGAGCTGACGGAGGCTGTCAAGTTAGACAGTATAGAGTTAGTAATTAATTAGTAGGGGTTGCATCGTAGCTGTAAACTCTTATTATACTTTGTCAACTTAAATGCATCTTCCTTCCATTCGTTACAATTCTGAACTACCGCCTTCCAATAAACTGAGTGACATTATCCCTTAAAGCAACCTAGAATGGCAGCAGAATCCTAGATAGCTGACAAAAAAGAGCCCTAAAGCAGCAGCATTACTTTTGGAACTAATCGGTAAGTCCAAAGGATACAGTACCTAAATGCTGACCTGCTTGATACTAGCTCTCTTCTGCAGTTAGGTTAGCATTGCTGTTCAGCGCCCTTGCAACGGCAACAGGACCCAAATTTCTGAGCTTCCCAGTGCATCAGGAAATAATAATACAAGAGTGCAGCTTACCTTTAGCCCTGAGCTCGCAGCGTCTAATAGTACTCCGAGCTATATGCTTGTTTACAAACACCTCTCTTGCAGCCCTCACAGAGCTTGGACTCGTGCGGCAGTCCCTTTTTTGGACCAGAGGACCGTGTCTCCAGTTGAACTCCTGCCCACTTCTTGAGCCTGTATGCGACTCGATCGACATATAACTCCTCGTCCATTTTCAAGGTGCCTAGCTTCTCGCAAGACCTGCAGCGCTGATTGAATACTACAGCGTTGTACTCATTCTTTGGGTATCCCCTAATCAATATAGCCACCTTCTTACTAGCCTAGCCACTATTGGAACACGTTCTGTTGTTGCACACAAACTTGCCCATAATGTGAGTTGAGTGTGTGCTACGGACACCGTTGTCGCTATCATTCATGTGAAAGTGTGGTGAGGCAATCTCATTAGAGACTGCACTCACAACATCTTGATGAAGCGACGGAAACATGTAGGAAGTCTTCGCACTTATCCCACGATTATGTGCCTTTCCCCGAGCTATTGTTGATAGTGTAACGGTCGTGCCGCGAGTTAAAGCGATGAGGTTACTAATGCAATGTTAGAGGATAAAAAACAGAAGATGTAGAAGTGATTGAGTTGGAATTTTAAAGCGGACTCCCGCTATCTGGCACATTCTCGAGTGTGTGTTTTTGGGTTCTAGGTGTAGACGTACGATCGAGCTAGCTAGCGCGAGTATTAGTACTGTATGAATATAGCGTGAGAGAAATTAAGATAATTAAACGTACTGTAGTCCGCAGAGAGGCTGTGTAAGGCATAGAATGCGGCTGGAGCGGATGAAGAGCGGGAGTTAAATGCACAGTCCGCAACAATCAATTAAGTGGGTCCTAGAAGGTTCAGATTGGATTGATTGATTACCGCTTTAAGCCTAGTAGTTACCTATAGGAGTTTAAGCCCTACCTAGATAGGTAAGTGGGTCTAGGAGAGTGACCGGATTGAATTGATTGTTGCGGAGTCTAGTTAAATGGTGAGGTAAGTGAAGTGTGCTTTATGAACTCTGTAGGTGCGAGCAATCCACGAGGTAGCAGGTGTTCAAAAGATGGAGGAGAAGAGGAGCTAAGTACCACGAAGGATGATTCATATATCTATATTGCATCACGTCTCGAAGTTTCTAACAGCGTCGTTGTTTGATTCCCGTGGCCTAGTGACCTGAACAAACGGGCATCCAGCGAATCATCGACTGTACTGCTATCGCTCCTCCAAAACGAGCAACTGTCAGCTGATATAATTATTGTAATCACGTGGCATGAGTCAAATGATTTCCCATTTGTACGCACTGCCTTGTAGGCAAGTGCGCTCCCCTCCGAACACAACAACAACAGAGATAGCAGTACAATCGTTAATCCGAAGCCTCCACCCGACACTGCTCATGCAGTTACAATTATCTTCATTTGAGTTGCTGTTAGCAATGTGTAGCGAAGAAGATAACTTTACTGTAGATCCTTGACCAGTGTAGTGTCGATGTAGCTCTATGATAAGAGTCAAACAGCAAATAAGTCATTTGACTCTCACTCACTTACCACGAGCTTGTCTCAGCTAGCGGCTTGTACAACGCCATCATTTGTCCGCCGCGCCCCACTAATATCAAACACAGTTTGCCACCCGTACGTGCGCCTCCTCTCACCTAGAACATTCGGGCCTATCGTCACCTATGTTGATCCACCTTACTCACCACTTTCTATCTCGTGCACCTACTCAGCAACTTCTTCAGCCTCAACACTCTAGTCCCCTCCTGCTAGAACTCAGTCGGTTCTCACGATACCTATGGGTGACAACACAGTAAAAGGCATGTCAAAAAGCGACGAGGAACGAAGCAAAGCAGAAATCTGCTCCAATATCATCCAGTTCAAACATGCTAGAAATGGTTCTAATTACCCGAATCACCAACAAGCGCGTGCGGACCCTAGTCAGAAACTGAAAGAGGTCTTTGGTATCGACAACATTTTCACCAACAAGACCAACAACACAAAGCATTTCGTGGAAAAGGTGGAAAAACTGATGTGGAAGGCCATGAAAGCGAACAGTTTTAGGGATGATGGAGACTGGCGCGACCTGCGTAATTAAGCTATCGTCTTCTTCGATGAGTATATGAAGGAGTCTGACACCGAACCTATCAAGCTTACTAAGCTCACCCAATTCATCGTGTTGAAGCAGTCCCTCTGCTACCTCTTTAAGAACGCTCAAGAAGCCCTGAAAACAAGCAAGACACAGTTCGACGACGTTAAGTTTATTGGTCGTCGCATTAATGAACTTTGGATCTAGTCTAAGATGACAGAAGCCGAGCTAGGCAGAGCGAAGGCACCTATATGGAGCGACCAGAAAGACCTTTATGCTGCACTACGCCGAGTGACTGTTAGCAAAAAGATTTTCGACATGCTAGGTATGTTCCCTGAAGATGTACCCGACGACAAGCCTGGAGACACGACAACACTCGATCCCACGAAGCCAGACTCCGCAACAATCAATCGATTGACATGATTGATTCCTATATAGGTTAAAGAATTACTTCATTAGGCAGCCTTTAACCTAGATAGGAATCAATCATGCCGATCCGATTGATTGTTGCGGAGTCTGCACGAAGCCCACGGAGAACCCGATGAATCTTCTTCTGCCAGCATATGAAACGATGTGGCGAGTCGTTATACGTTGCTTCTTGGAGATCAAGTACTGCGGTGCGCCTAACAAATTGGATTGGACAACTATTCTTAGAGGCTACCTCGAAGATCTTGGTAACGCAAATTGCAAACTAAATGACGCCTTTCACAAGAGCTCCACAACAGCTAGCAGTGTACGGCCAGCTGAGATCGTCAAAGAAACTTTGCGTCTATACCCTCCTACTCGTCGTATTTATCGAATGTACTTTGACGAGCGAGTTGCTACAGACATAGAAGAGTGCCACTAGACTCCGCAACAATCAATTCAATCCGGTCACTCTCCTAGACCCACTTACCTATCTAGGTAGGGCTTAAACTCCTATAGGTAACTACTAGGCTTAAAGCGGTAATCAATCAATCCAATCTGAACCTTCTAGGACCCACTTAATTGATTGTTGCGGACTGTGAGTGCCACAGGTTCGAAATACTTGGAGGACAAGACCCTCTTACGTTCCGCCTGGAGCGCTGGCAGAACATTTGCACTGCACAACGGCAGGACTTCTATGACAAAGCAGCGCTATCTGCTTCTATTTAGACAGATTGGTTGAATTACCGGACCGCCAAGGATACCCTTAAAAATGAAGAGGCAAAATTAGGATATATGCTATTTGCGCACTACTGTGCCGCTGATCACCCTAAGACGAAAGAGTTTGCTTCTAAGATGATTGCATTGGTCGTGGCTGTTCTCTGCAATGGGCTCAAGGACGAGTGGGAGTTGGTCGATCCTACGAGCCTGCCCTTGACTGGAGTACCTTTGGACTCCGATCGCGCAGCGTACGAGGGGCTGAAGTTGAAGCGTAAGGCTTAGTTAATTGGCAATGAGTGAGAGGTTTCGACTAGGCGGGAGGCTCAGGCGGATATTGATGGATTGCCCACGCGAGAAGGAACTAAGAATTTGACTGACTTTTAATATGGTACTTTCTGTGACATCTGTTGCTCGCCTATGTGATTTCTGTAAGTGCACTAGCATGACTGTGTTGAATGTTGATGTAACGGGCTAAGCCTCAGGCATAGTCCGCAACAAGCAAGCCGGCTTAATAGGTTTGGCTTGTAGGCTTGATAGCTTAAGGCCATAATCAAGCCAAGAAAGCAGTCTGAGACTTGAAGAGCAAGCCTAAAAAATAGTGGCTGTAGGCTTGGTGGCTTGATAAGGCTTGACCCGCTTTTTGTGGTGTTTTGAGTAGAGGGTAGTGTTGTCAGAATATGGGCATATTTTGGGTGGTGGACAAAATCCGGGTGTTCGGAGCTGTGGATTTGTGGATCAGTTAAATTAGTCAGCACGCACAATCCACCGCGACCCAACTGATCGAACAGCGTTGGACAACAGAACAACACGACATCAGACCAGAACAATACAATCGATCCCCATCATATTATTATACTATTATCCCCGTCTTTGATAACCCATCACAATCTGACAAGAAGAAGTCGAGAAAAGCACTATTAGGGTGTCCAGCACCTCACCAGGCACCGATCGAATCACCGTCCGGCTTCTCAAGACCTGCTAGGCTTAGGTTAGGACCTACATCCGCTCTATCTTTTAGAAGTGCCTTAAGCTATACTACTTCCCCACAGCCTAGAAAACGGCCGAAGTCGCTATAATACTAAAGGTTGGCAAGAAGGACCACACCTCCCTAAGATCTATGCGCCTAATAGCCCTCCTATCCTGCCTAGGCAAAGGACTTAAACGGGTTGTAGCAAGACGGCTGGCCTAGACCGCAATAACTCACGAGATACTTAGCCCCTAGCATATAGGCGCGCTCCCGAAACGCTCTGCAATAGACCTGCTGGCCTCCTTTACATACGATACACAAAGAGCTTAGGCATTAGGCAAGAAGGTGACTATAGTTACTATAGACGTTTAAGGAGCCTTTAACGCACTTCTTAAGAACTAGCTACTTAACCGCATAGCAAAGCAAGGCTAGCTAGACCTAGTGCTTAAATTTATTAATAGTTTCCTCACAGATCGCAAAGTCAGGGTCAGATTAGGCAAGGCAACCACCCAGTGCTACACCGTGGCCTGCGGAACACCCCAAGGATCACCACTGTCCCTAGTCCTCTACACACTATCAGATTTGGCAACAAACAAATAATTTGCAAATATTATTTGCAAATATTATAGAAACTGTTAGAACAAGGTCTCCTCTGGTGGTGTCAGATAGCAGGGTTACTCGACGTTGGCAGCAACCAATCAGCGTAGAGAGGGTCAGTGCGCCCCTCAAGAGGGCCACAAGCGCGGACACACGATAGACAGAACACAATACACACAATCATCAACATCCATCACTTTTGTGCAATATCTCATTATATCTGACAATTAAGAGTCTCACTGCCTCAATAACGAGCGATAAAACCACGAAAATGGCAACAATCCAGACCCAACGGGACGCGACGGTCATCCTCACCGACTCAAGCAACTGGATCCCTTGGTACCGCCAACTTAAGCTGAAATGCCAGTCGCAAGGCATTTGGCCACTGTTGGACCCCGAAGGAGTGCGACTCCAGCGCATCCAACCGGAGGCTCCGCTACCCCCAGACATTTCGCAGTATGAACCGTCAAGTAGCCCCTCAGCTGCCTCATCGCATACCACCCGAAACGCTAGAGGCAACACGCGAGGATCAGCACAAGACACTACAGAAATGTCGACAACAACCTCACGAATCCCCACTATACCAACGCGAGTGTCAGAACTCTCAGAGAAAGGACAAGAAGCGTATAAGGAGGATCGCGACGACTACAAGCTGCGCCTTGAGTCATACAAAATACGGGAGAGGGACTATCAAGAAGAAAGCAACAAAATCTCAAAGATGGTCGAACACATCCTTACAACCGTAACACCCCATTTACAACTTAGCTGTTGCGCCGAGAACGGCACGCCGCGCGACTGGATAACCGCCCTCCAAGACACAGTTGGAGTGGATGAAGACGAGGAGAGAGCGCGAGCACGAGAGAGATACCAAGCCGCACTCAAGCCAATGCGTTCAACCACAAACTGGGAGACGTGGCTAAATGAATACGATCAGGCTGCAACTCGAGCTGAAACCCTTGAGGTGGCCGAGGTTATGCAAACACAAGCCGTAATAGACGACTTCCTAGGCTCCGTATCTAAAATGGCATCAACCTGGACCGCAGGGTTCCACGGGCCAGGGTACGATAAGAAAGCCATGAATAGGAAAAGGATGATGAAACTCTTCCGTGAATATATGAGTCTTCAATATCCATCAAGAGGGAAGCCAAAGAGCGCCTTCGCGGTAGGAGACTTATACGCGGCGAGCGGTGAACCCGACTCGGACACACTGAGGGACGCCTCTAGTGTGGAATTAAGAGCGCCATCCAACCAAGGCCGGGGAAACCCTAGGCAATCAAACAAACGCAAGATGGATGGTCAAAGTACCAGAACCAAGCAGATCCCGGAGAGGAATTCAGCGAAAGCTGGAGACATATGTCCTGCCTGTGAACAGCGTCATGAGATATCTGACTGCTACTATGTGAACAAAGCCAAGGCACCTGAATGGTTCAAGCCAAATCGAGGCATCGCAAGATTAGTACAGTACAAACTTGAAAATGACACCAACTTACAGAGAACGATGCAGGAAATGTCCCCAGAGACTAAACGACCTCGATTCTCGACAACGTCACGATCGATTACACCTCATATCAAGACATCACAAACACCGGACGCAGTCATTGAATGACTAGATGGACGCGAAATCTCAAGAATTGATGAGGGCACGATGAAAGCGGCATTCAGCGCAAGCCAACAAGGATATCCATTAAAGGATGCCTTCATCCTGGATTCCGGCTCGACTACGCACATCTGCAACGACCTCTCAAGAATTGAAGACGTACGCCCGTCGACGCCAGGGGACTACATCTGGGCCGGCAGCTCCAAAGTCTGGATACGAGGATACGGAGCTGTCACATTGACAACAGAGGGATCTCAGGACAAACAAGCCTTGCACATTGTCAACGTTGCGTGGTGTCCAGACTTCCTCTGCAGCCTAGTATCATTCAGGCTACTCCGACGACAAGGAATATGGTGGGACAATCGGGAAGATCCAACAAGCCTGCGACGATGGGATAGAACAATCATTGCTATCCTATCGGAACGCCATGGGCAATGGACTATCGAAGACACCACTCTATTCGACTCAGCCTTCCATGTGCGTATGAATCGAACCAAGCGATCACCACAAAGGGCGACAGCTATGCTATGGCATAAACGACTAGGACATCCAGGGCCATCCGCTATTGAACACCTCATACAGCAATCTGAGGGGGTGAGGATCAAAGGAATCACCACAGTACAATGTGACGCCTGCGGCAGATCAAAGTCGAAGCGCCAAATAAGAAGGGCGCTAAGACTAAATGACGAAGGTCCTGGAGAAAGAATTGCAATCGACTTCCATGAGTACGAGGCGGACAGCTTCACTAAGGAAAAGAGTCAGATGCTAATAACTTGCCGAAACTCCCGATACGTTTGGGATTTCTACTTCAAAGACAATAGGCCAGCACGCTCTATTATTCGCCTATTAGCCCTCTTTATCCAATTTATGAAGAAACAGTTCAACATTACGGTCAAGGTCATTGAAACAGACAACGAGATCGTCACAGTTAAGCAAGAAGTCGAGAAATGGTGCACGTCCCTATCAATCAGACTCGAGCCTTCCGCTCCAGACACACAAGCGCAGAACGGAGGAGCCGAACGCTCAGGGGGTGTGATAAAAGAAAAGGCACGCGCAATTCGACTAGATGCGAATCTTCCATGGGAACTCTGGCCAGAGATAACCAGAGCGGCGGTATACCTATACAATCGAACGCCA